TAACACCAAACTGGCCTTGCACGCAGCAAAGGACAACTGTCCCTCGCTCAGGATGGCTCTGGCTGCACTACCCACCCTGCCAGGTAGCACATGGGCTTCCTCCTAACCACAAGCTACGAGGACACTCGTACAAACTTACTCTTAGCAGCAATTTTGAGCTTGACCTTTCTGCATCTTCTGTGATGAGACATGAAGATGGGATCCTACCATGCTAATTGAGGACATGCTGCAGCCAGGACAGAGCTGAAGCAGAAGAAAAACCAGCAGAGATGTGAGGAAGAGCAAAGGCCCCCTCTTGGGAGACCACGTAGGTTCACACATTCCCAGTTGGCCTCTTTGCTCCGCATCTCAGGAAGCCATTCAAAGGACTGAACTAACACTAGATCCCATCGTTTCACAGCACTACAACCCTGGAACACCAAAGATGTGCTACAGAAGATAACGTTGAAGGTTGCTCAGGGCAATTCCCTGTCCTCCATCCCCCGTCCTCCTCCGCTAACATCCTTTCCTCTTGAGAGGAATAGAAACCACAAGCTCCAAAGTATTCAGCTGCCCTACACAACCATGAACAATCCCTCCCTCCACTCATGTGCTCATGGATGGAGGAAATTGCTTCAAGCAGGTGAGTCTCTAGGAACTGCAGCAAGCAACAACTGCAGTGGAGGCAGAGGGAAAGCAGGAGAGACACGGAGAGCAGGGCAAGCCTCTTGCCAAGTAGCACTAAGCAGCATTTCCAGCACAAACTGCCTTGGTTGTCATCTGCTTAACCTCTCTCGAGCCTCATATCCCAACTTAACAAAGCAGAGCCTCTGAAAATCCCAGAAAAGTGGGATTCCTTGGATTCAAGCTATGCTTGAGCTATGAGCAGGATACCTCATGCTTCAGCCCAGCAAGAGGGGCTACCTCATGAGCTTTACAGAACTGGTTTCCTTCCTACATAGAGTAAAAGCCAATGACATCTCAGACACTTTTGCAGATAGATTTTTTTTTTAAAAAAAAAGTGTTTTCTGGTCACCTGTACTGCACACAACCTTGCCCTGTACTTGCCCTTCATAAAGCCTGGCTTAAGCTCCTGCTCATGGCTTACAGAAAGACCTGGGAGAAGGTTCCTGGGACACCAGGAGGGCAGAAAGAAAAGTCTTCACCTTCAGCAGTCGACTGCAGAAAATAAAGTATTTTCTGATACCACAGAGACGTCGAGTGTTCCACGTGTCCCCAAAGGCACCACACCAGGCTCTGACAGAACCTCGGGCTCTGATGGGGCAGGTTCAGCACTTCCATCACGGAGGCATTCAGCGGAACTTCGCTTCAGTTCTCCTAGCAAGACAGAGCTATTGCATGCAGCAGACCACACGTGCTCCTTCTCCAACTTCTGCTGCACCACAGACCGAGGGAAGAGTCCCCGGGGGGAGCTTTGGATGCTGGAGGAGCAACGCATGTTCCTGTACAAGATGTAGTGTTCACGTGCATTTGCCAACACACTCTCTGGCCCTTCTCTGCTCCTTGTCTTTCCTGCATCCCCCATTCCCACAGCAGTTGAGGAAGCACAAGTGGCCCATCTGTGGTCACCAACAGGAAGCCATATGGAGATGCCGCCGAGAGCTCCTTTTAGGGGAGAAAGAGGCAGGTGTCGAGTCTCTCAAGCTGAGCATCAACCAGACAGGAAGCACTTGAAAACGGGCTGAATATGGGAACAGAATCCGCAAACACACAACTCCAGGGCTCGTCAGGCAGCCCAGAGTCCTCTCAAAGGTTTCCAGATTCATGGCTATCAGCAGGAAAACTGCTTTCCCAGCGCACACAAGAGCAGCACCAACAAGTACAGGAAGCACTCAAAGTACTTGTAGGTAAGTACTACCAAGGTCCCTTGAACTTGAACCAACCTCTCAAGCTAGTTCTACATAAGCAGCAGCTCCAGTAAGGAAGCTCTGGCCATTTGGGGAAATCAAGGCTGTTCCACATCCCTGAGCCCTTAGCACCCTATACTCACGTATGGGAATCAACAACAGCAGGATCAGAAGCCCTTCAACTTTTCAACTAGCTACACCAGTGGCAGGCAATATTCCAGCCTATATTTAATCACGTTTTAACACTTAATAACCTATTTTTCATCACTAATCCCCCGCAGCAGCAAGTTCCACCAACTGGTTGTATAGCACCACAGAAACCAGGTTGGGATCCAGGGCAAAAAAGCTGCCACCATCACACCAAGGGCAGTGGGACTGTTGGCCATTTCTCTCACCACAAGCTCTCGCCATTAAATTTCGGCCCGTTAAAGACCTTGATTTATTTTTAAGGTCAGAACCCTGCCCCAAGACAACTGTATGGTGGCAGTAAAACAAAACAAAACTCTCAAGTCTAGAGCTGTTCCCAAAGTTTCTCCCCCATTCAAGATTTATAGACTTGTCTGTCTACTTTCTTTAATCTGGATCGTTGTTTGCGGAATAAATTCTCTTGGTGGCCATTTCAGAAGGGGAGCTTTGTCTGTGTTCACTTGACAGCAGCAGATTAGGATAAATAACTGGCATTTCAGAAGATTTTTCATTTATTGTTAAGACGCAAAGCCTCTGTAGCATCAAATCATCAAGCAGAGAATCCATCTGAAGAACAAGTTCTGGCACACACCGAGAAACCGTTTCTGGAGACAGCCTCCTAGCGAAGGATTCGCACATGGAAATAAAATTAAAGGTGAGATTAACTGTTCAACTGTGGCATTATCTGTTTTTCCTTTTCACGCTTTTGCCTTGCATCTATCTTCATTGGGGCTTCACCCGGCTGCTGACGCAGCCTTGCAAGACCAAAAAGCCAACAGCAAGTCCATAGGGTTTTCACCATGTGCTTCTCTCCTCCACATCCTAGGCACTCGTCGCCTCCTTTCAGAGCATCTTTTGGGTAAATTTGGTCCAGAATGGAATGTGGTTGACGTGAGCAAACTCAGCTCATGATAGTCCTCCCAAAGCTTAACGGGGAGTTGAGCTGGACCCCCAGGGAGAAGTAGGAGCAAATCCCACAGACTGAGCCCCTCAGCCAGCACAGCACACACCCGATTTTAAACAGGTAATGGCCTTCCCATGTAACCACAGCTCGGATTTCTCTGACACAAGCCATTTCTAAGCAGTGGAACACTGAAATTCATCCCGCACTTCTTTGCAAACACCTGAACCCTGCACGCACTCAAGCGGAGCTCAAGCTTCCCTTGCACAGCCCAACACAGCAGCACAATCACATGGCCAGAACCTCAGCACCCAGCCTGAGAGCCAGGACCAGCACGAGGAAGGAGCACAGGAGCAGGTCCTTGCAGAAACACCAGCCCTGGTAGCAGGGCAGCACACATGGACTTTCTGTGTGCTGCCAGACTGCAACACGGAAGGATTAAATTAATAATGGTCAGCAGGGCCAGCTAGACCCAGTGCTTCAGGTGGCGCATGCAGAGAGCAGCATCAGGCCAGTGTAGCCTCCTCCTGCAGGCTGGGCACCCACTGTGCTCCCTAGGGTCTCACTGGGCACCCTGGCGCATGCACCTCATCCTAAGAGGTATCTACAGAATGTTCAAGGTTGGAAGGGACCTCTAGAGATCATCTAGTCCAACCTTCCTGCTCAAGCAGGAGCAGGATTTAAGCCCATCAGGCTTAAATACTCAATGGACACCCAGGAAGTTGCAGCACGTACACCCAAATAACCCTCCAAACAGGGCTGGGAAGCATCAGAATGCGATTGCCACCATCCCTCACACCAGCAGCTCATCAGCCCAGTCAAATCAACCCGCTCCGTAGAGCAGCACTACACACTCAACAGCAGCTCTACCAGCCAGCAATATTTCTTTGGTTTCCTTGGGATCCATAATGCATGTTAATTAAATACCAGTTTATTATTCAAACAGACCTACCGAGACATTGCAGCTTTGTAATAAAAAGCATATCCATCTCTGTTCCCCCCAACGCTCACCGAATTAAACGTGCATTTAGCGTGCCTCCACTCCAGCTCAGCATCACCTTGGCCACGAGGGGCTTCCAGAGGCCCTCCAGCACAAAACAGACCTGGTCTGGAGGTCAGGCTTGCTCAGGCCCTTATTCCCTTATTCCAGAAGGGAATTCCCACTAGCCCATCTGAGGACAGGGTCAAGGTTCTCTCAGGGCACTGATGAAGGCAGCCAGCATAAGCCTGGCTTTTCTGGAGGACACAAGTGATGTTTGCTGTAACACCCAGGGACTTCCAATTGCCACCACCTTTCAGAGAGGACAGAAGGAGGTCTGCAGTGGGTTCAGCCAGTTCCCCCAGCTCCCACCCAACCCAAGGCTTATCCATGCCCTGAAATCTTGCTCACACTTGGCTTTTGGGACATCTGGCCACCCATGATCACATCTGCCCATGCCCCTTTCCCACACCACAAGCTCCCTGTTAGTGCCGGCTCTCCTGGGACAGACTTGAACTCTGCTGTAGAAGATTTACCATAAATAATCTTACTTTGCCTTAAAAATTAACGGCAAACACATTTTGTTAACACTGGAATAATTTTTTACAATGCTTCAGAGCCTCCAGAAAACGTATTTTCCCAGCAACATGGAAAAACCTCTAGCCCTTGCAGACCGAGCCTTCTTAAACACAAAGCACGAAGTCCCCAAAGCATCAGGGACAGGTCCTTGGTGCATGGCACCAGATGCAGCCCCACGACTGGCCCCGCAGCTCCACGCAGCAGTGTTCTTTGCTGCCAGACAGGGTCTGCTCCAACACACAACTCGTGCCCCAGCGCTGCCTGCACGTGCTGGGATGCCAACAGAGCCACGTCCCAGCCTCAGAGCTGCAAAACCGCCCCAGACCATGGTGGGAAAGGCCAGCAGGACCTTGGCTGTCCCGACACATCTACATCCACTGGGGACAGACTGTTCTCAGAGGAGCAAGCATCCCAGCAGCATCCTCCCGCGTTCCCGGAGCACGGCTGGACCACAGACACGGTGACGAGGGGCAGGACGGACACGGAGCAGCTCCACACGGGCTCCTACCTTCGGTGCGGATGGTGAAGGGCGAGTCCCCCAGGCGCTTGGCTGAGAACTGCCCTCCCAGCGACGTCATTAAGAAGCACAGAGTGAAAAATCCAATGCCCAGCACAAATATCCTGTGGATAAAAGCAGAGGAGTCAGGAGCAGGGAGGAACCAACCCCGCCGAATGCCTCTCCATCTCTCCAAGCCCACCCCGCAGTAACCTGCCCACAGGTTTCCACTGCCCCCAGTGATACAAGCTCAGGCCTTCCTCCCACCCATCACCAGCCACCTGGAGCAGGCTCTTCAGCCCTAACATTGGTGCAGAGCAGCTGTTTTTTGTCCTAGGGCACAGGTTGGCATCCCTGCCCCCACAGCAGGAGCACAACCTGCTTGAAGGCCAGTGAAGTCTCGGCCAGGCCCCTCAGGGCTGCTGCAGGTTCCCAGGGAGGAAATTCAGTCACTCTCCTTGCAAATTCAGTCACACTCTCATAGACACATGGGCACGAGGGCTTCTAACCTCCTCACTCCCAAACCACGTGGAAAAAGAGGCAAAAAACCCTTTGCTCCATCAGCTTGCGCCTGCCAACAGCTGGTGCACCAGCACGCTCGGAGACTCCTGCAGCCTCCTCAGGAGGCCGGAGCCCCACAGGGCATCAGAGACCCGTGCCCAAGTGGGGAACCCGGGACAGACAAACATCACTGTGCGAGGCATCACTCCACTGAACTCAAAACGCCCCAATATCTTCTGCAGATCACAGGAGCCATCACAACAAACAATTCCCATTCTCCTCTAGGGAGGAACTGAAAGGAAGGGAGGCCTTGTGCTTTCCAAGGATCTAAAATAAAGCTCTCTTGTTCCTCCTGCAGCTAGACCAGCGGTGCCCGCCCTGCTCCGCACAAGGCAGCTCCATCCAGACCTGGTGACGACTGATCCCCAGCTCCAACACGTCCCTTTCCTGCTTGCTTTGTCCGGAGGGCAGGAAAGCTGCTGCCCCGGGCCAGCTGGCAGCACCCATGGGCACGCAGCACCGAGCGGGGCTCCCGGGCACCTCCGCTCCAAGGGGTGCAGGAGCTGCCAGCTGCCCTGGGTCTGCCCAGAGCAGCGTCTTGGAGGGGCGAGAAGCTTGAACACAGCAGCTGTGGGTTATTGCAACCAGAGAGGCACGAGGCAAAGGCCTCCCAGCTTCCTGGGTCGCCCACACAGATCTTTATGGCATCTGGAGCACGACAACGTGCCAGGATGGAGCCTGCCAAGTCCAATCCCCAACAACCCTTCTTTAAAAGAGACATTTTTTCCGCAATCTCCTTCTCTCCAATCGTCCGGGACACGTGCAGGGGCCAGCGCAGGGCCCGTGCACAGGGAGCCAAAGGCCTCTCCCGCTGTCAAGGGAGCATCGGTTGCTGTTTGCAGGAACGCAGCCCGCTGGAAGAGCCAAGATCCAGACAGCATTTCTGGCTGTTTTCCACGGCCTCTGAAAGGAGCTGCTGCCACGTCCAAGTCTCCGCAAGGTGCAGCGCTCTCCGACATGCGTGCAACGCAACGCGGTGTGGTTTCCATACACGGCACGCAAGGGCTCCCGGAGCCTTGCAGGCTTCGGCAGCCAAATTTCAAGGAGAAAGGGGAGAAAAGACCACTGCCAAGGAGCCTTGTGAAACAAAGGTATCGGTCTGAAGCAGCGAGGGCTGTGCTCATGCCCAGCGCTGCCGGTTGGGTGCTCGTTAGCATCCCTGCCTCTTGCCGTCTCTGGACTAAAGCAAAGCACTGGGAACAAGAAAGAGCAGCTCCCACTGACAGGTTCACAGCGTGATCCTCGCAGCTCTGGAGCCACATGCAACACCCCAGCGTGGCTACCTAGGTACAGTTTGTCCAGAGGCTGCTTTGGGAAGAAGTGCAGCATCCCAGTGCAGAATCATCAGACTAGAGCCTGAGCAGCAGAGGACAAGGAGCCAATTATGTGCTCAGCTCACGGGCACCGCAACCACCAACCAGGACAACAGGCTGGCAAACGGAGCAACTTGCTCCCGGGCACTTGTTAACTACAGGAGAGCCTTGGGGGAGATGAAGTGCAGTGTTAAGCAGCTCTAGGGCTCCTCTTCCAAGGGGGACGCACCCACAGCATGTCCCCAAGGCATCCCCAGCTGCTCCTACCTCCTCGCAACAGCAACGATGCTCTTCTCACTGAGCCTACACATCGCTCACAACTTGGAGCCACACACCAAGAAAGGCACCTGCTCCAAGGAACCCACCAGCCCTTGGCTCCTGCCCACCTTGCCTTTATAGACTCTCCCCAGCTGGGTCTCGCAGCAGATTGAGGTCACCTGGCCACATTTCCAGTGACTCTGGGCAGCTCCCAAGCACCTGCTCACACTCAGGAGCAGGGTAACACCCCACTTGTTGGAGAGGAGCTGAGGTCTTGGCTTCCTTCGGGCAAAGAGAAGCCTTGTGGCTTCATGCAGACGGAGGCAGCAGCTCTCCCATCTCCGCCCGGTTTGCCCTGAAGAACGTCATGCCCTGCGCCAAGGGGCTGGGGTAACATCCCTGCCCCGGCTCCTCGAGCACGGAGCGGGGTGGGTGGTGGAGAAGGGCTCTGCTTATGTCTGGTGGAACCAAACATGGGTCTCAGCACTCGCAAAGCACCTTGGGGACCACTCCTGACCTGCACAAGGACGGACAACCAAGTGGGCTGGCAAAACTGCCTGAAAGGCCCGTGTAGACACTTGGAGAGTGAAGCAGATGAAGTCCCTTTTCTCTGTGAACGAGCAGCCCCTTGGGGATGGGAAATGGTTTAAAGGGGCTATGAAAAGCGTCACGCACTCGGCTCATCAAGGCTCACATCCTCAAGAGCCCCTCGAGCCACCGCCTCTCCTGCAGCCCCTCAGTCACTGCTGAGCTCCTGCTTGAGCACAGGGAGGGACAACCTGCATCTCCTGCCCCTCTCCCAGCAGGGCCCGGAGCTGCTCACGGCGCTGCAGGGTTTACAGAGAGGGTGGAGCATCCCTGGCTCTGTGAGGCAACGTGGTTGCCCAAGGCATGGGGATCTCAGTCCCAACCATCCCTGGCCAGGCGGTGCCGCGAGGTGTGCGGAAGGGGCTCCCTGTGACTTGGCATGGCAGTGGGATCGAGCAGACGGCAAGGGGGCATCGCCGGGTCCCCGCTCAGCCCTGGGGAGATGGATTTGCCCTAAAAGAAGGACGGGGGGAAACCTCTGGCATCCCCCTAGAAGAGGATGAAAACAGCCTCGTGGAGAACTCGCAAGCTGAAGAAGTGTGAGGTTGGTCTCAGCCAAGACACCAACTTCTTGCTTGAACCTGGGTGAGCCCCTTAGACCAATGCATCTTTCCAGGGGTGGGTCATGAGTGTAAAACCCACCAAAGGCCCTATCTTGTGTGCCAGTGTCTGCTCCTTCCCCAAGGAACATCTCAAGGAAGCGTCACCTGAGGAACAGCCGTTTAAATCATCAGTGCTGATCCTCTTCTTCACTCCCATCCTTCCTCCTGATAATATCTCCATCATTATGCAAGACCTTGTTTATGCATTTTAATCTTCATAATTATAATCTGGTAAGGAGTTATGGTTGAACACAGGAAAGAAAGAAGGAAAAAAAGCTTCAAATATGATCTATGCTCTAGCATCTCATTAGGAGACAAATTCCCTTTGATTTTGAATGGACTATAGAGATGATGGGGGAGAATCAGAATTTCAGAATGCCTTTTTTTTTCTTTTTTTAAGAAGGCATTAGACTCTAATTAATTTTCTTAAGGGAGAAGTGACATCCAGTTCAACAGAAATGTTCCAGGGAGTAAGGAGATTTCAGGGACTTGCTCTCAGTTTGGAGATCCTGTCTCTCTTACTTTGTGCTGAGCTCCTGATGAACAAAAATCCTCGGCGCGGCTTCAGCCAAGTGCAAATTCCTTGTGCAGAAAACTAAAACTGAAAAGCTGATAAAACAGACCATAGCCTAGATCTTCAGAATTGCCCATAAAATGCACTGGGCCCTCTGTCCCCAGACTGAGTTCTTGCTCGCTGAAGATCGCAGTTTCAATGACCAAGTAGCATCTCCTTTGCAAGCGAGCTCTGGCTGTCATCACACGTCACATTTAATTCATCATCACGGTGCTCTCGCCGTGCACAGTTCTGGCACCAATTCCCTCTACGGATCTCCCCCAAACTGAAATTTTCACCATGTTGCGTTCTGGCTCCGTGCCTGTAAAAGGAGGAAGCCAAATTCTGCTGTGTCTTTACTGCAAATTGGAAGTGATGCCCTGGCATGACACGGTCCTGGAGCATTTTAGCCTGCACCAATATAAGCCACACGCATCCGGGAGGGACACACAAGATGGGACACGACTGAGCGGGATCCTGGGATGCGGCACAGGGATCCAGGGACCTCAGGCCAGCTGACCATGAGCTGCAGCACCAAGCAGCTGCTCACCGGGCTCCTGGCCCACACAGGCAACTAGGATGCTTAGAGAGAAAGACAAGCTCTCTCTAGACAGGTTTTCACCATTCAAGCCCTCTCAGCTCCAAAGTTGAACCTCAATTTCTAAGAGCAGCAGCTGGGTGAATAAAATATCCCCCTTTTGCCACACACCTTGCTGTGCCGCAGCCGCTGCCCCAGCGCTGCCGCTGGCGAAGGGGAGCTCGGCCGCGGGAACCACCCTCCACAGCCGCAGCTGGGCAAGAGGAGCCACTGCTGCTGTCGCCCACTGCTAAAGACACAGGGCAAGCCCCGCGTTTCCTGCTGGCAAACTTTCCCAAACTCCCTGCTTTACCTCCCCTGTGCTCAGAACCAAGAGCGGGGCTGGCCCCACGGTGACATCCTGCCTGCGCCTGGCACCGGCACTGATTGAATACTCTCATGCAGCGCAGGGTGAGGTCAGAGCCATCCCCGGCTGCTCCAGCAAGTTGCTCCTGGTTCCTCGCTCTGCTTCCCGTCGGCCGCAGGCGCTCCCATGCTCCGGGATTCACGTCGTGTTGCTGAACACGCCGTGAGTGTCATCAGTGAAACGCTGTGGGTCGGGCTCCCCGCTGGGCGCTCGCTGATGGCACCGCTGCCAAAGGTTGCACCAAGCAGGGGATCACAGCCCAGGATGATGTGGAGCCACACTGCGACACCAACATGACCTGACACCACGGCAGTGTCTTCTCCAGGTCACCAGGAGAAGGTGGACATCAGCACCGCCTGAGGTCCACCAGGCTGGACTCAGGCAGCTCATGCAAGCCCTTGCTGGGCTCGTACAAGGTGACAAGGGACCAAGATGCTACAAGGTCTCCTGCTCAGCACATCACCAACACGGATGGAATGTGGAAGGGGGTTGTGGAAGGCACAGAGGGAAATTTCTGCCTTTAGGAAAAGCCTGACTGGTCAAGAACTGAGTCACCGCCTGGTTTGCTCTAGTTTCAGAGCAGAAGCCAGCCCAGGGGGTGACAACAGGACCCTCCAGGGATTTTGCTCTGCTATAGGCACCAGAGACCCTCCAGCTTGAGGGTCTCCTTCCATCACAACTCACTCCCCATGCTCCCTCCTGCTGCAAATCAAACCCCAGGTCACAGCCCAGGCTGAGCTTTTCCTGCTCCAAACGTGGGGATGGGCAAAGGGGGATGCTCTGGCTGGGAAGACTGGGTCTAGGGACTAACTAAATCCACTTGGGAAAATAAAACAGCCCCTGTCTGAGCTGTGCTGCCTGAGCACGGCCGCTCCGGTGCGTGTCCTGGCCATTCCCACTGCAGCTGCACACTCAGCCCCGGAGCGTCGCCCCTTTCTACCCAGCCGATGGCCGGCAGGAGCCAAAGGCTCTTCCTCAATGACAGGGAGGTGCCATTCCCTGCTCATCCATGTCCCCACATGGAGCAGGGCAGACCCCCTTCGGAGCACAGCCTAGGACCATCCCTATCCACCACCTCTTCCCCGCGTGACCTTGGCCAAGCCCGTCCCCTCCAGGGTCCTGCCGCAGGATCTGGGAGCAGGAATCCCTGAAGGAAAGCAGCGAGGAGCTGTGCAACCCTTGGAGCGAGGGCAGACCCCATCTCCCAACCCGCCCGCAAGCAAGCAGCGCAGACACTGCCCCTTCCTTGTCCCCAGCCCTCGGGCAAGTTACGAGGCCAGCGGGCAGGTTCCTCCGGCTCCGCCACGCAGCAGCGGCCGCTGCAAACGGCTGAGCCAGGCTCATCCCGCTGCTTGGCGGCTTCACTCCCCAGCACTTCCACCTCTCATCGGGTTTTGGTCCCTCTCCCCATTAAGAAAATAAAGCAAGTGCTGATGTCTCCAATGCTTCTCAGGCCTGGGAGTGACTAAAACGTGAGAGCGAGGACGTGAAGAAAGGGTAAAAATGGGGGGAATGGGTAATCAGTGGGCATGCAGCCAGCGGGTCGCGGCGTGGGTATCAACTCCAGCTCTGCTGCCAGGGATCCAGGGGAGGATTTAGCATCGCCTGTCAGCAGCAGGGGATTTAAACAAGAGGAACCGCTTCCCCGGAGAGTATAGCACCTGCGAGGACAGCTATTAAGAAGAGGCAGCAGCAAGAAACCTGCAGCGGATCCCGGCAGATACCTGCGTAATGAGCGATCAGGAGCCGAGGGGCAGCGGGCGCCGCAGCGGCAGCTCCCAGCGCCCAAACTTGCCCAAATCCCTGATATCCTCATGGGAGTTCCCCCCTCCCCGGCCCCTCGGGAAGGCTCCGCTGCAGAAACGCGCCAAGCAACCGCGGAGCAGGGCAAGAGGAGGGCAGACAGAAGCGCAACTTTACCTAAAGGGTCTCAAGGTGACCAGGCATCTCCTGACCATTATCTTCCCATCCGCGTTCACTGTGATCATCGTTCGGCTGGCGGCGCGGCGGGGGCGGCCCCGC